AGAATTCTGAACTGTAGCACTTTACTCTGTTTGTCTTCTAGTGCTTGTTTAGAAATTCTGGGCGGGCTCTTCAATTTAGAGGGCCAGACTTTGTCTTCGAGTAATTTGTTCTTGAATCAGCATAATTATCTTCAATCTAGCCGTTGAAAATCAAGAGATTGATTTTTCCTTACCAACGGGTAGAATTTCTTCATTCAGGACTTAGATAATTTTCCAAGTCTTTTTCCCACTTGTCCGTTTTTTGAGAAATCCGGGCTTCAATGAGTCTTCCGATTCTTAGCTGACAAATCCGGAGGGGTCATTCTGAGTCTTCCGGGTGAGAAAGAAATCCGCGCTAGTCTTCCGACTTAGCCTGTAGCGAGACATCCGGTTTTTATGTAGTTATCCGGAATAGAGGATTTTCATCTGATTGAGAAATCCTTACTTGTCTCTGACGTTTCCGATCAAGATATCCAATTTCCATATCACTGAATTTGATTTAGTCTTCAGGCATCAAAACGCTTAAAGGATAATCACAATTTTATTGGAAATCTCAAGAGCTCGGTTTTGACAATATTTCTAAAAAGAAAAATTACATTGAATATTGGGGGAGACCTAAAGTCCCTAATACATTCTAAATACATCATCATCAAAATCTATAATATTTTTCCCAACAAAATTGGTTAAAAAAATCAAGATCAGAAGCACTCCGGCCCAACTTCAAATCCATCCTCACATCAATGAATCCCATTGCCTTGATTCTTTGAATCTTCCTAAACAATTTTGTAAATGAGCACATAATCTCCACTGCTAGTTTATCAGCACAGAATAAGCCTAATCATAGTATATGTTTTTCTGCCAGTTTTGTTAAAATATATAGATATACTACAGTGTCAAATATTGTAAATATGAAATAAAGATGCTTTGAAATGGGCACGAAAAAAATCCAAATTTTATTTCAATTTAATCAAATATTATAAATGAAATAAAGACGCTTAGAAATAATTTTCCAAATGGGAAATAAAAAAGATGAGACAGCCATGGCTGCAACTACGATGTCAAATTTCGGCTAGCCACACCAAGATACAAATCATCATTTCATTTCAATTCTAAAGGAGAACACCACCATGGTTGTAACAAATGGATGGAATTCCCAATTGCCCTACCAAGATATGGATTATTTAACCAAATGTACCTACAAAAAAATGACAAGTATCTATTACGAGTGTATGAAACCAAAATAGTCCATTCTTGCCATGCATGGCTGCATGTCGCCAAATATGTGGCATTCCATTCATGGAGCTAAAAAAATCATCTCTTCTTCATTCAATTTGTTAAATATCACGCGTAAGTAACCTATACATTAAACTCCAAGTATAAATATCCTTCCTCTTTTACATACTCCACCACTCCATAAAGCCTTTGTGAGTTTTAATCCATCCATCTCTCGTCACATACCAGTCCTATCAGTTTAGAAATTATGCCTACACTTTGGACAAAGTTGACAGAAATGAAGCCATCTACGTTTCGTGGCTATCTTAAATTGAGATTCATGCATGCGATTTAACATCCTACAAGAGTTTGGAGAACTTTATGCTCCATTGTTTTTTCACCATAATGAGGTATTTTTAAAATTCACTAGCGAAAAATAAGATTGCAATTATGAGGAGACAAACTTCATTTCAACACTTTGTGAGAAGGTGTGTTTAGAGTAAATGATTTTAATTTGTTGAAAATTTATTAAATCTTAGATAAGTAACAATAAAAAAAATTCTTGATTTCTGTAGGAAGAAACAAATAAAAATAGTGATTGCATTATTGACCTGGAAGAGCAGAAGCCATTGGGCAAAGATGAGAAAGTTCATGTTAAGCAAAATTGTAGATGGCGTTTATTATGAATATGCAATCTTTTAATCTATGAATATATAAATTATTATATGATGTTCTTATTTAGGTGATTGTAATAAACACCGAACGACAAAGATGAAGTCAAAATTATCCCAACCAGATATTTGTTCCACTTCAATGTTTGCATCTTTTTGAAAAAAACAAGTTTTCAGTCACAAGCAACTGTATGTGGCGATGTCTAGGGTACGCTCCCGCTCCGGTTTAAAAATAATGATATGTAATTCTTAAAATACTCCAGCTAACATTACAACAAATGTAGTTTATAATGAGGTATTGAGTATGTTTGATTGGTCTTAATGTACACAATTTATAGTCCCTCATTCTCATATATGTAGTTGTCCTTCATTTTCATATTATCTTTTGAACGTAATATAGTTGAATACTCTTTTTTTAACGGTGTTGAATACTCTATCTATTATGTGTTGTATGTCTATTTAAAATTAAATAATTATGAAATATAATGTTTTTCACAATTAGGATAATTTTTTCTTTCCGTGCATCACACGGGTAATGCACTAATTAAATAATAATAGAGTGAAAAAATTAATTTTTACATAGTGTAAGTCTAGATGGATTGATAAAAATGACTTTGTGTAAAAAAAATCACCCGAAGTGAAAACAATGAAATGTGCGGTGAATAATTGATGTTCAATCCCAAGGAATAGTAGCAAATCACAACCCTTTAACAAGCATCTATCCATCTATCTATCTATCTATCTATCTATCTATATACAAAGATAAGATGTAAATTGAAACGGTGAATTTGTCAATTATTCCAGCCCAATCCAATTAGTTGAACAGTCAGAAGCGTGAGGAAAGCTAAGCCGCTCCTTTTTGTCTAGGGTTTCTGTCGCCGCTCTCATCTTGGGCCGCAGTCGACCGCGTGGTTCTTTCTGATTGTGAGTTCTGTCCCTGCGTGATTCTCTTCCATGACCGCACAATGACAGGAAAGATTGCTCTATGTGGGAGGAGCACCACACACAGATTTTAAAGCTCTAATTTGTTATAGCTAATGGAGAGACTATAACTTTGATCTAGGGTTTCTAACAGGATCAAGATGCAGGGCTGGGCATTTCTTCAACTCAATTTCAGGTTCCAAATCTTTCTCCTAAAAATCTGATAAAGGTTCCATCGTACTCCACATCGCTGTTTTTATGAAGCTTTCGTCTAACTTCGAATTTCAAAGCTTATGGATTTTGGTCTGTTTCATATGGTCTTTAGATATCTGCTGCTTCAATCGAAGATGTCAGGAGAGGTCTGATGTGCATCCCTATTCTCATCGCTCACCGGTAAGACAGTAAAACTATGGTCACTTTCTGTCGCGTGTTCACATCGTTAACATCTTCTTCTTGCAGGATAAATTTTCTAGGGATAAAAAATATCATTCTTTGTGGAGTAATGTTTTATATAGTTCGTGCATTTTTTTTTAGTGAAGCTTTTGATCCAAGATGGACCATAAATGGTAACTATTACTGAGCCTAAGATTTGCCGTTTTGTTTAGGAACTTAAGTTTTAAACTTGAAATATGACATTACTTACTGGATATGCTTTCTTTGTGTCCATTTTTTTTTTGGATTTGTGTCTTCTTGGTGTACCGTGGGTATAATTTGTGTCTTCTTGATGTACTACATCTTAATAAGATTTGAAAACCTAAGTTACATCCGAGTGACGAAGCCTGAACAGGAGCCATTATTGACATGAGGGCTAGGGTTTCGAATCCTAGCCACCGACTTCGTAATCTGACAGTGCTACATCTTTATCACTACTATCTATTAAACACTAATTAATTTTTAAGAATAAAAACCTAAATTTTCCTGTCTATTTTACCTTCATAGTAGTTAAATCCAAACTTATTCTCGCATAATATTGCTCTGTGGAACTTGAGAAGATTGATGAGCCTGTTTGGTGGAGTTTTATTTGAGTGAAATGCACTTAAGAATTGAATTGAAAAAATACATTGTTATATTCTTTAATTAATCATCATTTGAATTATACGGAGTATTATTTACGAAGGACTATCTTAGAAATAAATATCAAGTATTAAGAACCACGTAAAATTAGAACTTTTTAAGAATTGAATTGAAAAAATACATTGTTATAAAGGACTATTTTGATAGTTTACTTTAAAATTAAAGAGATAAATATCTAAATGGTCGTTTGTGAAGTTGTCATTGACAAAGATGTGCTCACATGAAGCTAATTTATGCTACTAATTTAGACCACCAATAATATTCTATTTGTTTTCCAAGAAAATGTTTACGAAATAATAATAGCAATTTTTACTTATTTAGTTTTTTAATTATTTTAATAATAAAAAATTTGGTAAAATATTTTATCTGTGCATCGCACGGGTACAAATATAGTACAAAGCAATGAACGGATATCAGATTTCATTTTTCCTTTTAAATAGAGTATATAGATGTTCTAGGGTATAGCCCGTATACTTCCAGACCAGAATCGCGTCACTGCGTCTCTCAGCAGCGACCGTCAATTACCAAAAAACTAGGGGTTTCCTCCATTTCTTTCCCAGCATCTACAATCAGCCAAGCACCTGTAGCCGCACGACAGAGGCAAACCTGGCCGTCTTCTCCGACCTCCATCTTTGCTACAAATCGAGCTATGAATTGTCGGACCTCATCTTTGAGATTTGGACCAACTCTACTCCGACCTCATTCTCCTCCAGTGGTCTGTGAAATTATTTCATATTCCATTGCATTTATTGGTATTTATTTATTGGTTTTATCTCATGTTTTGATATCCAAATTCTCTTTTCTACTAATCTACGGAGTACAATATAATTTTTTTGTTTAACTAGTATATCACTAGTGCTTTGCACGGGATATGTAAATTTAATAAACATATAATACATCCGAAAAGATGCATTTTCAAATTTTTCCACATCTTAAATAAAGCAAGAATGATATATTCTAACAAATAAAGTATAAACAATGAATTATGCTTAAATTAATATATGTAAATAGTAAGCTGTAATCTATCTATATACAGAGATAAGATGTTAATTGAAACAGTGAATTTGTCAATTATTCCCTCCCAATCCAATTACTTGAACAGTGCTCCGGAAGCGTGGGGAAAGCTAAGCCGCTCCTTTTTGTCTAGGGTTTCTGTCGCCGCTCTCATCTTGGGCGCTGTCGACCGCGTGATTCTCTTCCACGACCGCACAATGACAGGAAAGATTGCTCTATGTGGGAGGAGCACCACACACAGATTTTAAAGCTCTAATTTGTTATAGCTAACGGAGAGACTATAACTTTGATCTAGGGTTTCTAACAGGATCAAGACGCAGGGCTGGGCATTTCTTCAACTCAATTTCAGGTTCTAAATCTTTCTCCTAAAAATCAGATAAAGGTTCCATCGTACTCTACATCGCTGTTTTTATGAAGCTTTCGTCTAACTTCGAATTTCAAAGCTCATGGATTTTGGTCTGTTTCATATGGTTTTCAGATATCTCCTGCTTCAATCGAAGATGTCAGGAGAGGTCTGATGTGCATCCCTATTCTCATTGCTCACCGGTAAGACAGTAAAACTATGGTCACTTTCTGTCGTGTGTTCACATCCTTAACATCTTCTTCTTGCAGGATTAATTTTCTAGGGATAAAAAATATCATTCTTTGTGGAGTAATGTTTAATATAGTTTGTGCAATTTTTTAGTGAAGCTTTTGATCCAAGATGGACCATAAATGGTAACTATTACTGAGACTTAGATTTGCAGTCTTGTTTAGGATATTAAGTTTTAAACTTGAAATATGACATTACTTACTCGATATTCTTTCTTTGTGTCCATTTTTTTTGGATTTGTGTCTTCTTGGTGTACCGTGGGTATAATTTGTGTCTTCTTGATGTACTACATCTTAATAAGATTTGAAAAGCGAAGTTACATCCGAGTGACGAAGCCTGAACAGGAGCCATTATTGACATGAGGGCTAGGGTTTCGAATCCTAGCCACCGACTTCGTAATCTGACAGTGCTACATCTTTATCACTACTATCTATGAAACACTAATTAATTTTTAAAAATAAAAAACTAAATTTTCCTGTCTATTTTACCTTCATAGTAGTTAAACCCAAACTTATTCTCGCCTAATATTGCTCTGTGGAACTTGAGAAGATTGATGAGCCTGTTTGGTGGAGTTTTATTTGAGTGAAATGCACTTAAGAATTGAATTGAAAAAATACATTGTTATATTCTTTAATTAATCATCATTTCAATTATACGGAGTATTATTTACGAAGGACTATCTTAGAAATAAATATCAAGTATTAAGAACCACGTAAAATTAGAACTTTTTAAGAATTGAATTGAAAAAATACATTGTTATAAAGGACTATTTTGATAGTTTACTTTTAAATTAAAGAGATAAATATCTAAATGGTCGTGTGTGAAGTTGTCATTGACAAAGATGTGCTCACATGAAGGTAATTTATGCTATTAATTTAGACCACCAATAATATCCGATTTGTTTTCCAAGAAAATGTTTACGAAATAATAATAGTAATTTTTACTTAATTAGTTTTTTAATAATTTTAATAATAAAAAATTTTGGTAAAATATTTTATCCGTGCATCGCACGGGTACAAATATAGTACAAAGCAATGAACGGATATCAGATTTAATTTTTCCTTTTAAATAGAGTATATAGATGTTCTAGGGTATAGCCTATACTTCCAGGACAGAATCGCGTCACTGCGTCTCTCAGCAACGACCGTCAATGCCAAACATCTAGGGTTTTCCTCCACTTCTTTTTCAGCATCCACAATCAGCCAAGACCCTGTAGCCGCACGACAGTGGCAAACCTGGCTGTCTTCTCCGACCTCCATCTTTGCTACAGATCCAGCTATGAATTGTCAGACCTCATCTTTGAGATTTGGACCAACTCTACTCTGACCTCATCTCTTCCAGTGGCCTGTGAAATTATTTCATATTCCTTTGCATTTATTGGTATTTATTTATTGATTTTATCTCATGTTTTGATATCCAAATTCTCTTTTCTACTAATCTACGGAGTACAATATAATTTTTTTGTTTAACTAGTATATCACTAGTGCTTTGCACAGGAAATGTAAATTTAGTAAACATATAATACATCCGAAAAGATACATTTTCAAATTTTTCAACATCTTAAATAAAGCAAGAATGATATATTCTAACAAATAAAGTATAAACAATGAATTATGCTTAAAATAATATATGTAAATAGTAAGCTGTAATATATCTATATACAGAGATAAGATGTTAATTGAAACAGTGAATTTGTCAATTATTCCCGCCCAATCTAATTACTTGAACAGTGCTCTAGAAGCGTGGGGAAAGCTAAGCCGCTCCTTTTTGTCTAGGGTTTCTGTCGCCGCTCTCATCTTGGGCGCAGTCGACTGCGTGGTTCTTTCTGATCGTGAGTCCTGTCCGCTGCGTGATTCTCTTCCACGACCGCACAATGACAGGAAAGATTGCTCTATGTGGGAGGAGCACCACACACAGAATTAAAAGCTCTAATTTGTTATAGCTAACGGAGAGACTATAACTTTGATCTAGGGTTTCTAAAAGGATCAAGACGCAGGGCTGGGCATTTCTTCAACTCAATTTCAGGTTCCAAATCTTTCTCCTAAAAATTTGATAAAGGTTCCATCGTACTCCACATCGCTGTTTTTATGAAGCTTTTGTCTAACTTCGAATTTCAAAGCTTATGGATTTTGGTCTGTTTCACATGGTCTTCAGATATCTGCTGCTTCAATCGAAGATGTCAGGAGAGGTCTGATGTGCATCGCTATTCCCTATTCTCATCGTTCACTGGTAAGATAGTAAGACTATGGTCAATTTCTGTCGTGTGTTCACATCGTTAACATCTTCTTCTTGCAGGATTAATTTTCTAGAGATAAAACATATAAATCTTTGTGGAGTAATGTTTTATATAGTTTGTGCAGTTTTTTAAGTGAAGCTTTTGATCCAAGCTGGACCATAAATGGTAACTATTACTGAGCCTTAGATTTACATTTTTTTTAGGAACTTAAGTTTTAAACTTGAAATATGACATTACTTACTGGATATGCTTTCTTTGTGTCCATTTTTTTTTTGGATTTGTGTCTTCTTGGTGTACCCTGGGTATAATTTGTGTCTTCTTGATGTACTACATCTTAATAAGATTTGAAAAGCTAAGTTACATCCGAGTGACGAAGCTCGAACAGGAGCCATTATTGACATGAGGGCTACGGTTTCGAATCCTAGCCACTAACTTCGTAATCTGACAGTGCTACATCTTTATCACTACTATCTATTAAACACTAATTAATTTTTAAGAATAAAACCTAAATTTTCCTGTCTATTGTACCTTCATAGTAGTTAATCCCAAACTTGTTCTCGCCTAATATTGCTCTGTGGAACTTGAGAAGATTGATGAGCCTGTTTGGTTGAGTTTTATTTGAGTGAAATGCACTTAAGTTTTGAATTGAAAAATACATTGTTATATTCTTTAATTAATCATCATTTGAATTTTACGGAGTATTATTTACGAGGGACTATCTTAGAAATAAATCTCAACTATTAAGAACCATGTAAAATTAGAACTTTTTAAGAATTGAATTGAAAAAATACATTGTTACAAAGGAGTATTATGATAGTTTACTTTAAAATTAAAGAGATAAATATCTAAATGGTCGTGTGTAATATTGTCATTGACAAAGATGTGCTCACATGAAGCTAATTTATGCTACTAATTTAGACCACCAATAATATCCTATTTTTTTCCAAGAAAATGTTTACGAAATAATAATAGTAATTTTTACTTATTTAGTTTTTTTAATTATTTTAATAATAAAAAATTTGGTAAAATATTTTATCCATGCATTGCACGGGTACAAATATAGTACAAAGCAATGAGCGGATATCAGATTTCATTTTTCCTTTTAAATAGAGTATATAGATGTTCCAGGGTATAGCCCGTATACTTCCAGACAAGAATTTCATATTCCTTTGCATTCATTGGTATTTATTTATTGATTTTATCTCATGTTTTGATATGCAAATTCTCTTTTCTACTAATCTACGGAGTACAATATAATTTTTTTGTTTAACTAGTATATCACTAGTTCATTACACGGGAAATGTATACTTAATAAGCATATAATACATCCGAAAAGATGCATTTTCAAATTTTTCCACATCTTAAATAAAGCAAGAATGATATATTCTAACAAATAAATTATAAACAATGAATTATGCTTAAAATAATATATGTAAATAGTAAGCTGTAATATATCTATATAGAAAGATAAGATGTAAATTGAAACAGTGAATTTGTCAATTATTCCCGCCCAATCCAATTACTTGAACAACGCTCCAGAAGCGTGGGGAAAGCTAAGCCACTCCTTTTTTCTAGGGTTTCTGTCGCCGCTCTCATCTTGGGTCGCAGTCGACCGCGTGGTTCTTTCTAATCGTGAGTTCTGTCCGCTCCGTGATTCTCTTCCACGACCGCACAATGACAGGAAAGATTGCTCTATGTGGGAGGAGCACCACACACAGATTTAAAAGCTCTAATTTGATATAGCTAACGGAGAGACTATAACTTTGATCTAGGGTTTCTAACAGGATCAAGACGCAGGGTTGGGCATTTCTTCAACTCAATTTCAGGTTCCAAATCTTTCTCCTAAAAATCTGATAAAGGTTCCATCGTACTCCACATCGCTGTTTTTATGAAACTTTTGTCTAACTTCGAATTTCAAAGCTTATGGATTTTGGTCTGTTTCACATGGTCTACAGATATCTGCTGCTTCAATCGAAGTTGTTAGGAGAGGTCTGATGTGCATCCCTATTCTCATCGATCACCGGTAAGATAGTTAGACTATGGTCACTTTCTGTCGTGTGTTCACATCGTTAACATCTTCTTCTTGCAGGATTAATTTTCTAGGGATAAAAAATATCATTCTTTGTGGAGTAATGTTTTATATAGTTTGTGCATTTTTTTTAAGTGAAGCTTTTGATCCAAGCTGGACCATAAATGGTAACTATTACTGAGCCTTAGATTTCCAGTTTTTTTAGGAACTTAAGTTTTAAACTTGAAATATGACATTACTTACTGGATATGCTTTCTTTGTGTCCATTTTTTTTTTTGGATTTGTGTCTTCTTGGTGTACCGTGGGTATAATTTGTGTCTTCTTGAGGTACTACATCTTAATAAGATTTGAAAAGCTAAGTTACATCCGAGCGACGAAGCCCGAACAGGAGCCATTATTATTGACATGAGGGATACAGTTTCGAATCCTAGCCACTGACTTCGTAATCTAACAGTGCTACATCTTTATCACTACTATCTATTAAACACTAATTAATTTTTAAGAATAAAAACGTAAATTTTCCTGTCTATTATACCTTCATAGTAGTTAAACCCAAACTTATTCTCGCCTAATATTGCTCTGTGGAACTTGAGAAGATTGATGACCCTGTTTGGTGGAGTTTTATTTGAGCGAAATGCACTTAAGAATTGAATTGAAAAAATACATTGTTATATTCTTTAATTAATCATCATTTCAATTATACGGAGTATTATTTACGAGGGACTATCTTAGAAATAAATCTCAACTATTAAGAACCATGTAAAATTAGAACTTTTTAAGAATTGAATTGAAAAAATACATTATTATAAAGGACTATTTTTATAGTTTACTTTAAAATTAAAGAGATAAATATCTAAATGGTCGTGTGAGATGTTGTCATTGACAAGATCTGCTCACATGAAGCTAATTTATGCTACTAATTTAGACCACCAATAATATCCTATTTGTTTTCCAAGAAAATGTTTACAAAATAATAATAGTAATTTTTACTTATTTAGTTTTTTAATTATTTTAATAATAAAAAATTTGGTAAAATATTTTATCCGTGCGTCGCACGGGTACAAATATAGTACAAAGCAATGAACGGATATCAGATTTCATTTTTCCTTTTAAATAGAGTATATAGATGTTCCAGGGTATAGCCCGTATACTTCGAGGCCAGAATTTCATATTCCTTTGCATTTATTGGTATTTATTTATTGATTTTATCTCATGTTTTGATATCCAAATTCTCTTTTCTACTAATCTACGGAGTACAATATAATTTTTTTGTTTAACTAGTATATCACCAGTGCTTTGCACGGGAAATGTATACTTAATAAACATATAATACATCCGGAAAGATGCATTTTCAAATTTTTCCACATCTTAAATAAAGCAAGAATGATATATTCTAACAAATAAAGTATAAACAATGAATTATGCTTAAAATAATATATGTAAATAGTAAGCTGTAATCTATCGATATACAAAGATAAGATGTAAATTGAAACAGTGAATTTGTCAATTATTCCTGCCCAATCCAATTACTTGAACAGTGCTCCGGAAACGTGGGCAAAGCTAAGCCGCTCCTTTTTGTCTAGGGTTTCTGTCGCCGCTCTCATCTTGGGCCGCAGTCGACCGCGTGGTTCTTTCTGATCGTGAGTTCTGTCCGCTGCGTGATTCTCTTCCATGACCGCACAATGACAGGAAAGATTGCTCTATGTGGGAGGAGCACCACACACAGATTTTAAAGCTCTAATTTGTTATAGCTAACGGAGAGACTATAACTTTGATCTAGGGTTTCTAACAGGATCAAGACGCAGGGTTGGGCATTTCTTCAACTCAATTTCAGGTTCCAAATCTTTCTCCTAAAAATCTGATAAAGGTTCCATCGTACTCCACATCGCTGTTTTTATGAAGGTTTCGTCTAACTACGAATTTCAAAGCTTATGGATTTTGGTCTGTTTCACATGGTCTTCAGATATCTGCTGCTTCAATCGAAGATGTCAGGAGAGGAGGTCTGATGTGCATCCCTATTCTCATCGCTCACCGGTAAGACAGTAAGACTATGGTCACTTTTTGTCGTGTGTTCACATCGTTAACATCTTCTTCTTGCAAGATTAGTTTTCTAGGGATAAAAAATATCATTCTTTGTGGAGTAATGTTTTATATAGTTTGTGCATTTTTTTTAGTGAAGCTTTTGATCCAAGTTGGACCATAAATTGTAACTATTACTAAGCCTTAGATTTGCAGCTTTGTTTAGGAACTTAAGTTTTAAACTTGAAATATGACATTACTTACTGGATATGCTTTCTTTGTGTCCATTTTTTTTGGATTTGTGTCTTCTTGGTGTACCGTGGGTATAATTTGTGTCTTCTTGATGTACTACATCTTAATAAGATTTGAAAAGCCAAGTTACATCCGAGTGATGAAGCCCGAACAGGAGCCATTATTGACATGAGGGCTAGGGTTTCGAATCCTAGCCACCGACTTCGTAATCTGACAGTGCTACATCTTTATCACTACTATCTATTAAACACTAATTAATTTTTAAGAATAAAAACCTAAATTTTCCTGTCTATTTTACCTTCATAGTAGTCAAACCCAAACTTATTCTCGCCTAATATTGCTCTGTGGAACTTGAGAAGATTGATGAGCCTCTTTGGTGGAGTTTTATTGGAGTGAAATTCACTTAAGAATTGCATTGAAAAAATACATTGTTATATTCTTTAGTTAATCATCATTTGAATAATACGTAGTATTATTTACGAAAGACTATCTTAGAAATAAATATCAACTATTAAGAACCACGTAAAATTAGAACTTTTTAAGAATTGAATTGAAAAAATACATTGTTATAAAGGACTATTTTGATAGTTTACTTTAAAAGTAAAGAGATAAAAATCTAAATGGCCGTGTGTGAAGTTGTCATTGACAAAGATGTGCTCACATGAAGCTAATTTATGCTACTAATTTAGACCATCAATAATATCCTATTTGTTTTCCAAGAAAATGTTTACGAAATAATAATAGTAATTTTTACTTATTTTGTTTTTTAATTATTTTAATAATAAAAAAATTGGTAAAATATTTTATAAGTGCATCGCACGGGTATAAATATAGTACAAAGCAATGAACGGATATCAGAATTTTTCCTTTTAAATAGAGTATATAGATGTTCCAGGGTATAGCCCGTATACTTCCAGGCCAGAATCGCGTCACTGCGTCTCTCAGCAGCGACCGTCAATGCCAAACATCTAGGGTTTTCCTCCATTTCTTTCCAGCATCCACAATCAGCCAAGCACCTGTAGCCACACGACAGTGGCAAACCTGGCCGTCTTCTCCAACCTCCATCTTTGCTACAGATCCAGCTATGAGTTGTCGGACCTCATCTTTGAGATTTGGACCAACTTTACTCCGACCTCATCCTCCTCCAGTGGTCTGTGAAATTATTTCTTATTCCTTTGCATTTATTGGTATTTATTTATTGATTTTATCTCATGTTTTGATATCCAAATTCTCTTTTCTACTAATATATGGAGTACAATATAATTTTTTTGTTTAACTAGTATATCACTAGTGCTTTGCACGGGAAATGTAAACTTAATAAACATATAATACATCCGAAAAGATGCATTTTCAAATTTTTCCACATCTTAAATAAAGCAAGAATGATATATTCTAACAAATAAAGTATAAACAATGATTTATGCTTAAAATAATATATGTAAATAGTAAGCTGTAATCTATCTATATACAAAGATAAGATGTAAATTGAAACAATGAATTTGTCAATTATTCCCGCCCAATCCAATTACTTGAACAGTGCTCCGGAAGCGTGAGGAAAGCTAAGCCGCTCCTTTTTGTCTAGGGTTTCTATCACCGCTCTCATCTTGGGCCGCAGTCGACCGCTAATTGTTATTGGATATGATGATGATTGATTAATTATTGATTATGAAATGAATTGGATTATAGGATATCTAGAAGAACTATAAGATATAACTAGGTTGACATTGGTTTCTAAGACTACCAAGAAGACTTCTAAGATAGCTTAGAAATAGGCCTTGCGACTATAATTATGAATATTCAGTGGCCTGGGTTAAAACGTACGTACGGGATCCATAAACCAAACTAGAGGCACTCGTTTGGGGATACCACCCAACCCGACAGTTAGTATTCTACTGTTCGGTTTTCTGGATTTGCACCTTAAGCGAAGGCTAGTTTAAGAGTTGGTAAATCAATCAGGATATATGTACCTTAAACTAATGACCTAGCTTAAGAGTTGGATAGAAGTACCTTGAACTAGAATTAGTTTAAGAGTTGGTAAACATCAAAAAAATTGGCCTTAGACTAAGCATAGTTTAAGGATATTGATGAATATTGAATATTGAATATGAATATTGAATGTTGAAATATTGAAATAAAAATATTGAGAATATCATGAATGAACCATATATTATGTGCATGATATCAAATGGTTGTTTGTGAATTGAGATTCAATTTATGTGGATGTTCGATGCTTTAGATATGCTTACTCAGCTTCACCGCTGAGCGTGTAGTGTGTTTTATTTGCTACACGCAGGTAGGCAGAATGAGTGATTGGCATGTTCCTGGTAGCGGAAGGGGCGAGACTGTCGTGGTGGAATTTATGATTCTAAATGAATAATTGTGTTGTTAATTAAAAATGGTTTAAATTGCTTCCGCATTATTATTAAACACTCCGTATTTTACCACAGTTATGTATTGAATAATATTTATGATGAATAAAGGTATTGAAATGTTTTAAATTTTTACGATTTCCAAATTAATACGTTAGTCCGAAAGGGGCTGCAGACCTGGACGGATTAGGGTGTTACAAGCAATCTTGCTTTAAATTGAAATAAATCCAAGTAAAAGTACTTCTATACCATCTTCATGTCAACTACAAATAAAGTCCTAATCAAAGTGAATCCTGCTTTCTAACGATGATTCTACAAAATAAAACAGAAGCTAAGCACTCACAATAAATGGAGAAGATATCGACAAAATTTATAGCTTTAAAAACTATTAGAGAACTTAATTGGAAATTAAAAAGATTGCTGGATAGCCACAGTGATTGATTCTGAATTTTAATTTTCTTCCCCTCTTTGTACTACAGGGGATAAGTGTGTAAATGCATGCGTACGTTTATTAAATGTTGCCTTAATTTAAAATATGTAACAATACTTACATATACATATAACAAAATTCATAATAAAGTGAATAAATATTAGCAACCTTGCTTTAAATTGAAATAAATCCAACTAAAAGTACTTCAATACAATCTTCATGTCAACTGCAAATAAAGTCTTAATCAAAGTGAATCCTGCTTTCTAACAATGACTCTACAAAATAAAACAGAAGCTAAGGACTCACAATAAATGGAGAAGATATCGACAAAATTTGTAGCTTTAAAAATTATTGGAGAACTTAATTGGAAATTAAGAAATCAACTAAATTCAATGGGAAATTACCACTCATACTAGTCTCATAGTCTCCACTCTCCAATTCCTCTCCAGAAATGGTATTTACTATTTAAATTAAACCCAAACTGAAATGGAGAACAAATAAATACAAGTTTATTTAATGAAGGCTTCAATCCAACTAAGGAAGTTGAACAAAATAACAGATTTTGAGATGAAGTTTACACCAAAATTTTCATTTTGACATTATATCAAACAGCTTGCGGGCGAATTGATACTGCTAATTTGTATAGGCAAAAATATCAGGCCTATCAATATCTGTACGAATTGAAACGCACGGTAACCAAAATCCTGGAGATGAACTCGAAAGGCAAGGCATCAATCTTCTACTAATTCCTTCTAGCATTTGAACCAAAAGGTAAACGAAAAATGAAATTAAAAGTTGATTTCTTACCGGGTTCTTATCCAGAAGTGAAGGGCGGCTGAGTTGATACGAAGAGTCAGACGAGTGCACTGCGTAAGTGCGGATGGGGGAGTATCTCAGGCAGAGTCTACTGCGGCCGGTTGCATGAACGTAGAGTCGGGCTTCTAAAATTAGAGTCTCAACTAATATGAGTTATTAGGTTTAGAAAAGTATGGACAGATATTAATTTATAATTGAGTCAAGAACATGTTATAATTATTAGAAAGCTACTCTAATGGCAGAATGAGAGCTTCGAATGAGCTGTAATTTATACATAGTAGAGGGAAGGAAAAAAATGATGTCTCATTATTCATAACCACAAACGTATAGATGATTTGTTATTTATACAAAGGAAATACAACAGCCTCACAACAATCTCTCAACAACCCTAACCATCCCCCTTTTAGCAATCTTGTCCTCAAGGTTGGAATTATGGGGATTTGATGAGCAATTCTTCATCCCATTCGCAAGTGGCATCTTCATGCGACTAGCCAGTCCACTGGATCAAAAATTGTGTTTTTACCATATTATTCTTCTTAGCTGGCCTGCGAGCAAGTATAACCATTGGTTTTGGCATATCTTCTGTGTTGAGACCCTGAAGCCATGCTGGAATATGTGACTTTTCTGGCAGTGTTTCTTTGAAAGGCTTGAGAAGGGAGACATGAAAGACATTGTGAATTTTGGTTTCCTCTGGTAGCTGTATTTTATAGGACAACTTACCGATGACAACTTGAATTTGAAAGGGACCGGACTACTTAGCACTTAGCTTCTCATTACTTATCGGTAGTAGTGTAGCTTGTCTATAGGGTTGGAATTTAAGCCATAGCCAGTCCCCCACTTGAAAGGTCCTCTTTCATTTGTGGCCATCAACAAGTTGTTTCATCCTGTTTTGTGACTTCAACCGGTTGAGTTTAAGCACCTCGATCTTCTCCTGGTAAGTAGGGTAGATGGACAGGGGCCTCTGATTATAAACAACCTCATAGGAAGTCACGTGTGTAGTAGAGTGAAAAGTAGTATTGTACCACCATTCCGCGAGAGGTAACCACTTAGACCAATTTTTAGGATTAACTGATACGAATATCGTATTGGATAGGGAAGAACTTCGAGCGTTCTTCAAGCTCCAAGAATATGAGGTAGAGAAAGATGGAAAGCTTCGAGCGTTTCCGGACTCCAAGAGAATAGAGGAGGAGATTAGGGTTTTGATATTTCTTTATTCCCTTCATAATAGCGGGGAAGGATTACAATATATAGAGAGTAAAGCTACGCTAGTTGACCTAATGGGCTCGGACCCGTACTAAACCCTAATCTATAAAATATTAATAAATAATAAATAATACTATTTAATAAATAATATAACTAATCTATTATCATATCATTCCCACCCCCTTAAAAATCCACCTTGTCCTCAAGGTGGAGGCTCCCACTCATGCTTTAGGATTGGAGAAAAAATGTTGAACCAAAGGAGCAGTCCACCCTTTGAATTTTCAACCATCTTGGCTCTTGCAGCAAAGTGATGGAAAGATGAGACGATGCGCATAACAGATGTAGTTGCTCTCAGTGAAACCAAGTGCTCCGTCTTGACCACATCGACAAGATCAAACAACTTGATGGTGTCAATCAAAATAGGTGAGTGTGCTTGTTTACCATCTGCATCTGTCACTTTGTCAACACTTTTTGGAATATCATACTCTGCTATGACCACACCAGCTGAGGTATAAAATTCCTGAAAAGCAGGATCTGGCTTGTCGACATTGGCAACATCTTTTGCAAGAGGACTTTCATTTTTTTCCACAACGTTGGACCTCCCGTTATTTTTGTTTATGGCTTCAGGTCCGATATCCCCATCACCTCCAACTTGTGAGTCAACGTTGGATTTCTCCTTCGATGTGTGATCCTGTGCTTCAACGTTTTGCTCAATTACTGTAGAGACCACATTTGGCACAGAAGGCGGAGTGTCAATAAGAATTTTTATTGCGCCCAACATGATTGTTCTAAAGTTTTGTAATTCCCAAGGAATCAAACTCGGTAAAATTGGGGAACCACGAACCAAATCTTGTATGGAGCAAGAGATTTCTACATCAAACGCGTACAAGTCGGAGTCATAATTTGGCTTACCAGTAGTATGAAGAAACGATCGGAGCATCTTTATAAGTTCATCCACATGATCATAAACTCCACACACTCCTTCGTCTAGATCAATTTCTCCATATAGAACATTTTCCAACAAATAAATAAGTTTGTCCAATGTACAAGTACTCATAATTAAATTCTCTAACCGAGCGAATCGCGCCTCCATTCGGAATGAAAAATCTTGTTGCATTTGATTCAACGACGGAGTAAAAGCAACCATCCTTTAAATTTTCCCAAGATCACGATTGCTCTCTGCAATTTGGAAGACAATATAGTTTTCCCTTTGATTTTTTTTGGGTGCAGCGCAGTGATTTATTGCGGCAGCAAGTAGGGAGGATCTTCTTGCTACTATGGCGGTCTTCTACGGCGGCAAGCTGAACGTGGTCGGCTGCGGTAGATCGGCTGTCAAAATTTGGAATGTGGTCGGGGTACTTTTTTATTGTTATTTGATGTTCTCTCAATGGAAGCACTAATTGATACGAATATCGTATTGGATAGGGAAGAACTTCGAGCGTTCTTCAAGCTTCAAGAATATGAGGTAGAGAAAGATGGAAAGCTTCGAGCGTTTCCGGACTCCAAGAGAATAGAGGAGGAGATTAGGGTTTTGATATTTCTTTATTCCCTTCATAATAGCGGGGAAGGATTACAATATATAGAGAGTAAAGCTACGCTAGTTGACCTAATGGGCTCGGACCCGTACTAAACCCTAATCTATAGAATATTAATAAATAATAAATAATACTATTTAATAAATAATATAACTAATCTATTATCATATCACACAGGTCATGCGTCTCAAATAGCTCTCTAGACATTTGTTAACTATCTCTGTTTGACTATATGTTTGTGGGTGGTAAGAGGATGAGAGTAACAAGTCTACACCATGCATTGAAAATAGGCCTTGCCAAAATGTACTTAGAAAAATTGCATCCATATCACTCAAGATGGATTTTGGCATTCCATGGAGTTTGTAAACATTTTCTAAATAAGATTGGACTACTTCAAGCGCTGTATAGGGATGGGAGAGGCTCATAAAGTGAGCATATTTGCTCAATCTGTCTACAAAAACAAATATTACCTCCTTGTCATAAGAGTTGGGTAATCCTTCAATAAAATCCATGGAGACATCCATCCAAACATCCTGGGGAATTGGGAGCAGGTGCAGTTATCTCATGCTTGCAAGATTGGCAAACAACACGGTGTCGAATGAAATGTGACACTTTTTTGTTGAGTCCTCTCCAAAAGAACAGATTCTTCACTCTTTGTAAAATGACATCTTTACCAGAGTGGCCTCGAGGAGAGGCATGTGCCCATTGTAGGATTTTCAGTCTTAGCTGTGGATCTGTTCCCACCACCAGCTTACCTTTCCTCCTTAACTGTTATTGATCCCAAGAAATATGAGAAACACTTTTTCCATCTTAGAGTTGTTGAATGACACTCTGTAATTGGGTGTTGGGTGTCTGTTTCCCAAGAGGCTATTATTCTATTAAGGAGGTCAGATTCAATAGAAGATAGTACTAGCTGCATGAGTTGTCCCCCACTGACCCTGGACAAAGCAACTGCTACTGTGTTGTCTTGCCCCTTTTTATACTGGATTTCATAGGAGAACCCCATAAGCATAGATAGCCAAAACTGTTGGAAGGATGTAGATATTTTTTTGATCCAGTAACCACTTAAGGCTTTTGTGATCTATCTTGATGATAAAGGGTTTTGCCACCAGATATCTGTACTACATGAACTAGAGCCAATAGTTCTTTCTCATACATACAATTGCTGCCATTTGGGGCCTAGAGATCTGCTAATGAAAGCTATGGTACAACCCCAATATCCTTTTGAGATGCATATGTTTCTACTACAAAGGGTAATGAAAAATCAGGAATGGCCAACACATGGGCTGCCATAAGCATCCCTTTAAGTTTGTCAAAGGCTGAATTTGCTTCCTCAGACCACTTAAAACTCCTTCCTCAATGAGTTTGTTAGGGGTCTACTAACAAAAGCATAATCCTTGATGAATCCCCTGTAATATCCAGCTAGACCCAAAAAACTTCTCAATCCCTTAACATTTTGAGGAGTTAGCCACTTGGCTATAGCTTCCTCTTTTTTCTAATCTGTTTCCACTCCTTGCCTCGAGATGAAGTGCCCTAGATATTCCAAAGGTACAGTAAAATCACACTTACTTTTCTTGGAGAATAGAGTGTGCTTATGAAGTAAGCCAAATACTTCTTTGAGGTGTAACACATGGTCTTGCAGGCTTTTGCTATAAATTAAGATATCATCAAAAAATACCAGCACAAATTTCCCAAAAAATGGTTGGAAAATATGGTTCATAAGGCCCTGAAAAGTGTTTGACAAATGTGCAACTTTAAAGGGGGTGAATAGAGTTGTTCACTAGAATGTCATTTATCGCATTTGTGATAACATAATAAAAAATCACAGTAAAAACGTAAAGAGCATGTAATGCCCTGAAAACCGGCTTAGTAGTTAGCCGTTATTTTAATAAAGATAAATATATTATTTTCGAATAGAAAATATAAACTATTTGTAAAGTCAACCTTTTCGTTGAAAATTGGGTTTTCGGGTAGATCTCCTAAAATGGTGACTGACGATATAAAGTTTGTGAAGTTTGAAATTTCAGGTAAAGCGTGACGAACAAAATAGATGTTACAATTCAATAACTAAATATAAGAATTTTGTTAAATATAGCAGATATATTACTCTTATTATTTAGAATATCTGGTTACTTTGTTTACCTGGACTTTACCTCCTCCTTGGCCGCTCCCTCTTTCCTTCCGTTGGAGACCAATCCTCCGACGAACCACACATCTGGGCTTCTCTCCTTTTTTTTCTTGATCTCCAAGCCTATGCTCTTGCCGTTCAATAGTCGGCCCCTTTTAATCCCAATAGTGAGATTGCTTTCAGAGTTTTAGTGTTATTCTATTTTGAAGAAGCAGTGAAAAGAAAAAGATGCCCGATCTGATTAAACTAGGGAATCTCGATCAGATTAGCACGTACCGTCTATCTTTCACTACGGTATCACCACCATCATCAGCCGCTATGGTAACCCTCCGTCCTATTGTTGTTGATGGGCCAATATCCAACGGGCGGCCCAAATGAATCGTCCAAACAATTTGGGTCAAGCACTTGGAGGATATCAAGGCTTGGGCCGGTCCATAGGGCTAAGCCCAGTCACTTCCGGTCCAGGAACAGCTGGCAGAGTCAATCCGGAAGAGGAGACGGAACCAAATGGCGGAGACGAAGCCGGAAAAAAGGGATCGCGCCATTGACGGGATAGACTCCATTGATTATGCATTACCATAATTGTCTAAAGCTCATGTATAAGTAGAAGAGACCCGAGAGGGGAGAGGACAAGCTAAATCAAGCTGATAATACATACTCAATTCTCGAATTCTCGTTCTTAATTAGATCCTTACGATCCGCTTTCTGAATCGGATCATTTGGTGGATTTATTGTCCATCAAATTGGTGCTCTTGTTGAGAGTTCGAGAATCATACTCAGAGGAAATCCTCCACAAAGTCGATGGTGCAAACACGCAGCAACGCCAATGTAGGTACCGGAGTTCCCCAACAGGGGGAGAATAGCGCCACTGGAGGCCGGCACCCCCCCATCACCACGGGGGAGGCTGAGGCCCTCATCCAGAGGGTTGGGATCACAGCCGAGCAATTCAAGGAGGTTCTAGCTGCACTCACACCCAATCGCGAGATTGTGGTAGAACAGGTAGCTGGGGGACCCACAGGCGGGAAGGCTGGACCTGCGGGCTCCCAAGGGAAAAAGAAGAAAGTAAGGTGGTCCCAGAAGAAGAAGGCGACCAAGCCTAATGGGAAGGCTGTGATGGCAGATGCTCTTTCCAGACTGGACGAAGAGGACGAGTCATCCTCCTTCAAGCGGATGTCTGCTTTTGACCGTTTGGGAGACCCCAAGTCAAAGAAACCTCGGACCTCTACGTTCGAACGGTTGCAGGACACTCGGTCGGCCCGAAAAGGCGATTTAAGGGACACGCTGAAGGAGAAGAGAGGGGAGTCCACAGCGACCTCCAAGATCGGTTCTGAGGAGCGATGGGCGACGGTCGGGGACAAAGGCGCGGCCGAGCTGTGGAGAATGTACGAACAACTGGAGAAGCGACTGGACGCCCAGAACCCCTACCGCCAGGCGGTCTTCAGTGAGGTAACGCCCTTCTCCAGAAGGATAATGTCTTGTCCTCTCCCAGATAATTTCAAGACTCCCCAGATCAAAGCGTACAACGGGACAACCGATCCCCAGGATCACCTCGCTCGCTTTGGGGCAAACGTGGTCATGTATGCGTACCCCGAAGAAATCAAGTGTCGGTGTTTCCTGGCGACACTGGAAGGGCAGGCTTGTGAGTGGTTCCACAAGTTACCCAAAGGTTCGATAGATAAGTGGAGCGACCTGGCCCACATGTTCTTGGAGCATTTCGCGTCCAGCCGAAGACAAAAGCTCCCCTTCTCGCACTTGCTCAACGTGAAGATTCGAAAGGGAGAGCAGCTCCGGGAGTTCATCAATAGGTGGGAAAAGGAGGCTAGGGATGTCCAAGGGGCGGATGACCAAGCCCTGGTCGCCATGCTCCAAGCTGCACTCCCCCAAGGGGATGTGCGCAAGGAGCTGCGCTGGAATCCTCTCTCGACCTATCAGGAGATGTTGGCCAGGGCGAAGTACCTGGCGTTGGAAGAAGAAGATGATGAGCCACCAGCCCGGAAAGAGAAGAAAAGCGGGCCACCGGTGGCAGAAGGAAAGAAGAGGAAGGACTACGGTAAGGGGCCGAACCCCACCGGGTATCACGCGAACAGGCATCCTGTTCATGCGGTACAGTCGTTGCCTGCCCCTCCTCCCGGTCGGGAAAGTTATGGTGTGTAAGATGCACCCAAATACTGCGAGTATCATTGTAACAGCACCCACAACACGTCGGAGTGCGTTACGCTGAGTAAGGAGATGGATCAGTTGATCGCAAGGGGGCCACCTCCTCGGTCGGAGCGACCGTCCTCAAGTAACCGGACCTGGAGGAGACCGCCAGCCCCCACGGTAGCGATCACAGCAGGAGAGGGGCAGGAGGATGGACAACGGCATCTAGGAAGGGATTGTGATGATCTAGATGAGGAGGAAAGGCAAGGTCGTCGGCACCTAGGGTGTCGGTTCATCATGGGGGGAAACACTGGAGGGGATTCAGTATCCTCCCGGAAGAAGTGGAAGAACATGGTGTACCTGGCCGAGGTACAAAGGCCGCCGCTGCCTAAGCGGAAGAAGAAGGAACCTCTGGTCTTTACAGACGAAGATTATCCCCCAATTCTCAGCCCTCACAGGGACGCTCTGGTGATAAAGGTGGAAATCAGTAATGTGGTTGTTCACCGGACTTTGGTCGATACGGGCAGCTAAGTCAATGTTATGTACAGCAACACCTTTAAGGAGTTGGGGTTGTCCCGAAACGACCTGAAACCGATCCATACGCCATTGTCAGGGTTCATAGGGGATACTATCGAAGCTGAAGGAACAATCACGGTGAAGGCCGGGGTAGGAGATGGCACCCACCGACTCTAGATCGACATGGAATTTATGGTAGTGCAGCTTGACTGTGCACACCATCTGATTCTGGGGCGACCAGGGTTGGAGGACCTGGAGTGCGTAATCTCCCCCGTCCACTTATGCCTAAAGTTCAATACCCCCACTGGGGTGGGGGTGGCGAAGGGGAACCAGAGCCTGTCACGGTCGTGCTACGTTAGGGCGACCAAAAGCCAGGCCCGAGTCGACGAGAATGTGAGCACGATCTGTGTGGCAATCCAGAGGGAGGAGGGGCGACCTCGAGCTGAGCCGGCGGAAGAAGTCGAAGAAGTTTCTTTGGACCCGATCAAGCCAGAGCGGAAGGTGAAGGTGGGCAAAACCTTACCGCTTAAATTAAAGGAGCAGTTATTGGAGGTCCTCCAAGCATTCAAGGTGTTATTCGCTTGGGGTCCAGAGGACATGCCTGGGTCGACCCAAAAATCATCTGCCATAGATTGGCAGTGGATCCGACCCACAAGCCGGTCAAGCAGAAGAAACGTTTCCTCTCCTCAGAACGAAGAGAGTTTGTCACCAAGCAGGTGACAACCCTACAATCCATTGGGCACATCCGGGAAGCCTGCTACCCGGAATGGTTGGAAAATGTAGTTCTCACACCCAAAGGGGATACCTGGCGGATGTGCGTCGATTACACTGATCTAAACAAAGCCTGCCCGATGGATCCTTTCCCTCTCCCCAACATTGATCAGTTGGTTGATGAGACGGCAGGGTGTGAGCTGATGAGTTTTGTGGACGCATTCAGTGGGTACCATCAGATCAAGATGGCCGTGGCGGATGAAGAGAAGACCGCTTTCATCACCCCCAACGGGGTATACTGTTACAAGGTAATGCCCTTTGGTTTGAAGAATGCTGGGGCGACCTATGCACGGATGGTCAACAAACTGTTCGCGCCGGTGTTAGGGGGATGCATGGAAGCGTATGTGGACGACATGATCGTCAAGTCCCAGCGGATGGAGTCCCATGCCGGCGACCTGGGGAAAGTGTTCAAGATCATGAAGAAGTTCCAGCTTCGCCTTAACCCTAAGAAATGTACATTTGGGGTTCAGGGGGGCAAGTTCCTAGGACACATGGTCAGCCGGAGAGGGATTGAGCTTAATCCGGAGAAAGTAAAGGCAATCTTAGAGATGGAACCTCCGCGGAATGTGAAGGAGGTCCAGCAGCTGACCGGCAGGATTGCTGCTCTCAGTCCTTCTTGTCAAAGATAGCTGATCGAGCGGCTCCTTTCTTTCAGACCATTAAGAAGAGCAGAGGGTTTGTCTGGACCGAAGAATGTCAACGGTCCTTTGAAGGGTTGAAAGCATACCTCCTCTCCCCACTGGTACTTTCGAAGCCAGAGCCCGGAGAGATCCTATTCCTATACTTAGGAATCTCTCCTCGAGCTGTGAGCTCGGTGCTTGTGAGGGAAGAGGAGGGTGTACAGCGACCTGTGTACTATGTGGCCCGGGTGTTGCGAGGGGCGGAGCTAAGGTACACGAACATGGAAAAAACTATCTTCGCGGTGGTATGCACGGTGAAAAAGCTCACCCCATATTTTCAAGCCCATCCGGTCCATGTGTTATCTCAAATCCCTATCGGAACACTTCTCCGAAGCCCAAATGCCCCATCACGGGTCAGCAAGTGGGGAGTGTTCCTGGGATCTTTTCAGATAGAGTTTAAGCCACGACCGGCGATAAAGGGGCAGGCGTTGGCAGATTTCGTGGTAGAATGCACAGCAAGAGAGGTGGAGTCTAGTGGAGAAGAACCCGAAGGGAGCTGGTGGACGGTGTACACTGATGGTTCGTCCGCGACTGATGCTTCTGGGGGAGGCGTCGTGGCGATATCACCGGAAGGGTTCAAAGCATACTACTCCGTTAGATTCCGGTTTAAAGTCTCAAACAATGAGGCTGAATACGAGGCGCTGCTTTGCGGTTTGAGGCTAGCAGCTTCATTAAAAGCTGAACGAATTCAAGTCCGGTGCGATTCCAAGCTAATAATAGTAGGTCATGTCACTGGAGAGTTTGAGGCCAAGGATGAGCGAATGAAGAAGTATAGAGACATCGCCCTGGAATTGCTCAAAGCGTTTGGAGCGTACCGGATAGAGCAGGTACCTCGAGAAGAAAATGCTGAGGCGGACATCTTGTCAAAGCTTGGCCCAGATTCCCCAGATCATATCAAGGCAATGACCCAGGAAGAAGAATTGCTCGAACCAAGCATCAGTCTCGGACAAGTATTGGTCATCACACTCAAGGAGCCAGCGGATTGGATCGATGAGATTACCATGTACCTCCTTGACGGGTCGCTACCTACCGACCCAATCACAGCAAAAGTGGTAAAACGACGTGCACCCAGTTACACGCTGGAGTGCGGTCGGCTGTACAAGCGGTCATACAATGGTACATTGTTGAGATGCTTAAGAGCGGACGAGGCGCAGAAGTTAATGGAGGAAATCCATGAAGGGATATGCTCAGCGCATCAGGGAGCCTTCACCATGTCCAGGAAGGTAACACTGCAAGGATACTTTTGGCCAACGATTATCAAAGATTGTGCAGAATACGTGCGGAGATGCAAGGTTTGCCAGGAATTCCAAAGGATGCCGGGGTGACCGGCGACGAATTATACCCCGATCAGCACAGCAATTCCCTTTGCCCGATCAGAGCTGGGGCATAAAGCACAGCTATGCAGCGGTCGGGTACCCCCAAACCAATGGACAAGTCGAGAACACTAATCGTACCATCGTGGACGGTCTCAAGAAGAAGATAATGGAATGCAAAAGTGCCTGGGTAGAGGAGTTGCCCTACATCTTGTGGACCTATAGGACCACCCCGAGGAAGGCTACAGGTGAAACTCCTTTTTCGCTCACATATGGATTCGAAGCAAGGGCTCCAGCGGAGACCTCGTTGCTGAGTTATAGAGTGGAGACGTTCGACGCCCAGGAGAATGAAGAAAACTTGAGGGCAGAGCTGCACCTCATTGATGAACGAAGAGAGAGGGCGTACATACGGGCAGAGAACTACCGCCGGCAGGTCAAGTCAAACCACAACCAACGTGTGCGACCAAGGCAGTTCAAGGTAGCCGACTGGGTCCTTCGGAAAAGGGAGGTCAGCCGGCCGACCGATGGAGGGAAGTTTGCCAAAAGCTTCGAAGGGCCATATATCATAAAGGAGGTGTTGGCTGACGGGACATTTAGATTGCAGACTCTAGCCGGTGGCGACGTTCCGCGAGTATGGAATGCCGCCAACCTTATTAAATTCTATCAATAGATTGTATTCCAGCCATGTCTCTCTCTTGAAGTTTAATAAAACCAGCATTCTGGCACGTCTTGTCTCCAATTCCAAAAAAAAAGGGAGGGACCACAAGAGATCGCTAAGCCTAAATTGCATGGTGATTCGTGCTAAGATACCCAGTGGGGGGTGAGGCGTCGAACCCTATCGAGCGACCAAGGTTGAGGGTTGTCAAGCGACGCGACTAATCAGAGGACGATGTCGTGGCAAGAAAGCCTGAGAAAACGGCTAAGTTTGGAACATGAGATCTGTTGATCGCATGAGCGACCAGGGGATCTTGGGGGTATGGCAATGCCACAAGGGTCAAAGTAACCCGGAAATGGCTAAGTCAAAAGAAGCGAGGTATTCTCTGATTTAAGTCTGAGGAAACCTGAACGTCTAAAGTGGGATGCGAAAGAGAAGAAGGTGAAACTTGTAAGTAAACAGGTAACATCAGAATACATTCACAAAAATGTTCATTACATTTCAAGGATAATCTCTTGCATCTGCTACAATACAGTTGAGAACAATCTCTACATAGGGAGGGATACTTTCCCATACATCTCTTACAATGAAAAAGAACAATCTAAAACTTTGCGAGCAAAAGGTCTAGGGGGGACAGGCAGGTTTGAAGGGTAGTTCTGCAGCTGTATAGGCCGGCAGAACTCCGATCACCGGCCGTCCAGGACGACCACCTTTCTTCCCCACCATGGAACGGGATCGGTCGCCCCCAGCCTCGGCAAAAACCCACCGCCCTTCTCCTACCAAGGAAGGATGGGGGACGGCTCACTTCTCCGTGAACCCCAACCAGCATCACCTAGATGAGGATGGAGATCCTGAAGCCGCTCGAGCTACTCCAGGTCGCCTAGGGGTCTTCTGGGGAGGTGAGCGGCAAGCAGGGCGAGGTAGGGAAGGACCCAGTTCTTCCCCCAACACAACCTCCTCCTTAAGCCTCACCGGCGAATTGGTGCGACTTTCGCTAGTCCATCGTTCAAGACTTGCGTAATATGTGCACTCATGCTCCAGGAGGGGTAAGTGCTCATCGTGGAAGCTCTCCCAGGCCATGCATTGCAGGGAATGGAGGGGGCATGGAGCATCCCAATCAATCCGCCCGTCAGGCAGGCGGTTGGCAGAGAAGGCCTTGTACGCCTCACTGAAATCTTCGTAAGGGTTTGGGGGTAGTGGCGGCGGTTTCACCGACGGCCACTGCCGGCGAGGCAACCGGCGACAGAATTCGTAAGGGTCTAGCCCCCCCCATTCATTGGAATTGACTGGCTGTGGGGAGGAGGCAGGCTCCGACGAAGAAGGAGCCGGCCCATCGGAAAGATTCAGAGAAATGGGGAGTCCTTCAGACATGACGACGATGGAGAAAGGGAAAATATTTGGTGATGGAACAAAATGAAGGTTAGGGGGGCTTATAAATAAGCCCAGGTGAAGAAACCGAAGAGACGGTCAAGTCCCAAGGCAGCTGAACCGATAAAGCAGCTTTGAGCCACGCGAAGGTCCAATCAGAGACTGCAAGGGGCATTGGGACAGTTGGGCGGCACGTTGGCCAATCCTGAGATTGGGCCTGGTCGGGTAATCGGGCCGGGATTAGAAGTTGGGCCCTAACGAAAACGTCCATGTTAACCAGCTAAATTAAAAAAGAGTGCTGAAGTAAAACGCCGAAAAAAGAACGCACATGGTGAATCCAGAAAATCAGACAACATAGGAGCATTGTATCAAAACGACAAATCATTCCGAAAAAAAAGGGCAAGTGTTTATAAAGCTGTGGGGGAACAACAGGGGAGTTTAGACGGTCGAGCCGGAATGTCCACCCGCTTTGGACGTTGCTAAGCTGGCCCCTGGATTCTGGTCGCCGTGTCCACCTTCCTCTTCTTCTTCTTCCTCTTCTTCAGACGCGCTTGAGCTCCCTCCGTCCAAGTAAGGGCTGGGGTCGAACTCGGCCAAGGAACGGCAAGGAGGGGGAAAGCCGAGGTCGGGGAGAGAGAATCCTTTGGGGATCTGAGCCAGTCTATCGCGGAAGACCTGTTGGGCGTGGAAGAGTCCACAATTGAAGGACTTGGTCCCCTCCTTGACCATCCATTGAGCCCCAGGTTCAGTTTTGAGCCAAGCGGCTGTTAGCTCTTCCATCCGCTCCATCGCGACCATCGTGAAGTCAGGAGAAGACTTGAAGGATTCTACCGCTTCCTCCGCATGGTGGACCCGGTCGCTCCTCTCCACTTCCAACTGCTGGATCAAATCAGACTTCTCCCCTTCTAGCTCGACCACGCGAGCAGAAACAGATTCTACATCCAAGGACAAGGAGGCCTTGTCTGCCTCAAGGGCGACGCAGCGGTTCTCCTGGGAAGTTTTCTCCGCAGCAAGCGCCGCGCAGCGATTTTCCTTCTCCCCCGGCTCTCTTGTGAGTCGGGCGACCTCCTCCTGCAATTCCTTCTACCTGGCCTCCAATGTCTTCAATGCCTCGCCCAAGGCAGTTTGGTGACCCCGTCTCCTACCAACCACCTCGATCATCCCCAGCGTGGCCTGCACCAAGGCATGGGGGTTAAGAACGTAAAAAAAAGGAGGAATGCAGAGAGAATCAGTGCAAGTACCTGGCTTAGCCTCAAGAGGACCATATTATCAAGGTCGTCCTCGAAACCGGCCGAGATGCGGGCTTGGTCCTCCGCGGGCAGGGTGATCAGGGTCTCCAGTTGCACGTCCCCTAAGCTTTGGGGCAGAGGAGGAATGCAAAGCCTCGTCGAGCGACCCCCGGTCGCCACCTCGTAGGTCACCGCGGGAGGCGAAAGAGGTCGCTCCGAGACAACACCTTGTGACGACCCAGCGAGGTCGTCACCCGGCCTCACAGAGTGAGGAGGGGAATGGCCCGTCATTGTACCCGTTTCCAGGGTAGCATCATCCTGGTCCTCCACTACAATCACAGCCGGCTCTCGGGAAGGACTCTCCCCGTGGTGGGACGAAGAGCGTTTGCCCTGGCCCTTCGCCTCTCTCTTCCTCTTCCTCCCTGCAGTGAAGCGACTGAGTAGGAGATCGTCGTCCATCTCTTCTCCTGAATCTTGTAATTCCACTGGAAACAAAGGAAATGGTCAGCCTTGGAAAAAGATAAACTAAACGTCCGGGCAAAAGAGAAGGTCAATTACCAAAAAGACCACAGTCAAGACCTTCCTCAGGAATGTCCTTCAGCTGGTCAGGCTTATGCCCCCCGGGAATGTCCCTCAGTAGGTCGGGTTGGTGACGAAGCTCATCCTGAACAAACTCAAACCCCAACCCGGAAAGGGTTTCCTCTGTCACCACATCTTTGATGTTCATAACTCCCTTATTGCAGAGTTGGCGAGTGATGGACAAAAGGGTGGCATCAGGTGGGGGGCATGGGATGCGGCGGAAGGAAGGGCGCCCTGAACCCGTGAAAGGAGATTCGGGCCCCGTCGAGACGAAAACGAAGAAGCGTTTCTAGTCTTTGGTTGACCCCTTCTTGTCACTAGCAAAGAGCTTACTGGACCTCTGGGAAAGGCTGGCATAGGACGCCCAATCCTTATGGCCCTTGGTCAGCTTGAAAGTGAATAGGAAATGGTCCAAAGTTGGTTTCACCCCTACAACCTTGCACCGGACCAAATAACTGGCGATGTACCAGTGAGAGTTGGGGACCAACTGACACGGAAGAAGGTCCACAACGTTGAGGAATTCGATCAAAAGCGGGTGGAGTGGGAAGCGCAGCCCCTTCTTCAAAGACGCCAGATGGACCGTGAAGAACCCTGAAGGGGCGTCTAGGGCGGTTTGGGTGCTGGTAGGTCTCATGACTTCAATGGAAGGTCCGACCATGTCAGTAGCATCGGTGAACCCCCGGTCAGTAATCTGGCAATGGCACAGCGCCATGATGTTTTCGTCCAATCCAACCCTCGAGCCCTCATCTACCGGGGTTGAGGAAGGGAATTGCTTCCTCAATCGACGCCGTTTATGGCCAGACACGGCCGACGGTGACGGCTGGGGTGATTGAGTGTGGCCGGGGTTACGGCCAGAGGCCGATTGATCGGCTTGGCGAGAATTGGACGATGGGGTAGCCGAATCGGAATCTGAAACAATCATGGCGGCGAGAAAAGGAACTGACCTGGAAAGGAAGAAGAACGGGTCGGGTAGCAGCGGAATTGCAGACGAATGATGGTGAAGAAAGCGCAAGAAAGAGATGGCGTCCAGCGGCGGTTTTTAACTGACACTGGGGAGGCGAAGCGGCAGGTCATGATTACCTATTCGTGGAGATCGTGTCTAAGTGTCACGCGGAGCCCAAGAAACGGCCCGGATCCGCGCTGGAGCGCCCACGTGGACTTTGTAAACTCCACATTCCTCAACTGGGCCCAGTCGAGGATTGAGGAGTTGGGGGGCTTATGATGGGCCAATATCCAACGGGCGGCCCAAATGAATCATCCAAACAATTTGGGTCAAGCACTTGGAGGATATCAAGGCTTGGGCCGGTCCATAGGGCTAAGCCCAGTCACTTCCGGTCCAGGAACAGCTGGCAGAGTCAATCCGGAAGAGGAGACGGAACCGAATGGCGGAGACGAAGCCAGAAAAAGGGGATCGCGCCATTGACGGGATAGACTCCATTGATTATGCATTACCATAATTGTCTAAAGCTCATGTATAAGTAGAAGAGACCCGAGAGGGGAGAGGACAAGCTAAATCAAGCTGATAATACATACTCAATTCTCGAATTCTCGTTCATAATTAGATCCTTACGATCCGCTTTCTGAATCGGATCATTTGGTGGATTTATTGTCCATCAGTTGTTAATCAGATTCGTTGCCACTATGTTTTTCCATTCTCTCGCATGAATCCAGGTATTCTTTTCCCCTGCTCTAGCTACATGATTCAACACCTTTGAAAAATTGAAATGACATAATTCAATATTGCTTGTACCATGTATATCGTTTAATCATGTTAGTATCCAAATTGAACTTATCAGACTTAAATTTTGAATATTACTTATTGAAATTAATTATTATTTTTTACTCCCATATATATATATATATATGTTGCTTATCATAAAATTTGAACACGAATTGCAATCCGAGTACAATACGGAGTATTTGTTTTTCTGATCTGTTTTGAGGGAACGAACTGATTTGAACTCACAGTCTTGTATCATAAACAATACTGTATATCTTTTGCTTTTGAGTTTACAAGACATTAGTCGAAATGATTTGAACTTTCTGCTGCCTGGAGTATATATTTTTATATCTTTTCTACATATTAAA